CATTGTCATGTTCAAGAAACCAGTCTGAGATAATTCGCGCTTTATGACATGGTGCGTTATCGTGCTGGAAGTAGCCATCAGAAGATGTGTACACTTTGGTCAAAAAGGAATGGACATGGTCAGCAACAATACTCCGATAAGCTGTGGTGTTGACAGATTTAGTACTAATAGGCTTAAAGTGTGCCAAGAAAATATCCCCCACACCATTACACCACCTCCACCAGCCTGAACCATTAATACAAGGCAGGATGGATCAATGTTTTCATGTTGTTGACACCAAATCCTTACACTACTATCTGAATGTCGCAGCAGAAATCGAGACTCATCAGACCAGGCACTGTTTTCCCAAAATATTTTATTGTCCGATTTTGGTGAGTCTGTGTGAATTGTTGCCTCAATTTCTTGTTCTTAGCTGACAAGAGTGGCACCCAGTGTGGTCTTCTGCTGCTGTAGCCCATCTGCCTCAAGGTTGGATGTGTTGTGTGTTCAGAGAGTCTCTTCTGCTTACTTTGGTTGTAACAAGTGGTTATGAGTTACTGTTGCTTTTCTACCAGCTCGAATCATCTGGCCAATCTCCCCTGGCACCAACAAGGCATTTGCACCCACAGAACTGCCGCTCACTGGATATTTTCTCTTTTTCCGACCATTCTCTGTAAACCCTAGAGATGATTGTGCATGAAAATCCCAGCAGATCAGCAGTTTCTGAAATACTCATCTGGCACCAACAACCATGCCACATTCGAAGTCTCTTAAATGATCTTTCTTTCCCATTCTGATGCTCAATTTGAACTGCAGCAGATCGTCTTGACTATGCATCGAGTTGCTGCCATGTGACTGGCTGATTAGAAATTTGCGTTAACGGGCAGTTGGACAGGTGTACCTAATAAGTGGCCGATTTATATATATATATATATATATATATATATATATATATATATATATATATATATATATATATATATATATATATATATATATATATATATATATATATACATACAGCCAGACTCTATTTGTCAAATTCTTTTTTGCCATTCAAATTAGGAAATCCTAGACACACCCCCTTATTATGAATGCAGATTTTTCCACAATTCAGTCACAGAGCTTTGGAAAACCTCCATCAAATGCCATTTAACCAGGAAAGGGTGCATTTAGGCTTGTGAAGATTACTGTGGCAAAGTCAAATTTTGATGAGGACACAACTGAGCCAATCAGACAGAAACGCTTATGTTTGGTTAACTAGTAATTAAAGCATCAATCAGCCGCCGTCGCTTCATTTAGCCGTCGCTCCTGCCCAATGACATGCTAATCTCTGCTTGTTTTGACGCTGTCCGTTGCTTGAAACTTCGCCTTTCTCATTTCGTGACAACTAATCCCACTATAACCGTGTCGGCCACAGTTTAATCAGAACCGCGCAAAGATGCTTATGCATTTTAACTCTACGTTACACCAAGGGAAAGCGTGTAATAAAAGTGCAAGGATTAACCTTTCGCTCCTCTTTTTAGTGGATCTGCTTTTGATTAAAAGATTAGTCTGCTGTTTGGGAAGACGTGGCACATGAAAGTAGTATTGATGTGTAGATTGGACTGGGATTACAGACCCAGACCAAATCCTGCTGTCAGGGCACTTTCATTATAGGGTTTGGCATGTAAACTGTTAAACAGTTTAGTGACCCGCTCACAAAATAATGGTTAGTATTATTAACATTTAAAGCATTTACAAACTATTAATTCAATTGTTTTGCCTACTCAACAACTAATTTGCTGCTTATTAATAGTTATTAAGTTCATAGTTAGGTTTATTATTCACAGCCTTTTCTCAATACTTTGTTGTTGCACTTCTAGCAGCAATTATAGCCTTAAGTCTTTTTGAAGCTTGGCTCACCTGTCTTTGGGAATTTTTGCCCATTCCTTTTTGCAGTACCTCTCAAGCTCTATCAGGTTGGATGGGAAGCGACGGTGTACAGCCATTTTCAGATCTCTCCAGAGATGCTCAATAGAATTTAGGTCTGGGCTCTGGCTGGGCCACTCAAAGGCATTCACCGAGTTGTTGTGAAGCCACTCCATTGATATTTTGGTGGTGTGCTTTAGGTCATTTTCCTGCTGGAGAATGAACCATCGTTCCAGTCTGAGGTCAAGAGCACTCTGAAGCAGGTTTTCATTCAGGATGTCTCTGTACATTGCTGCATTCATCTTTCCCTCTATCCTCACTAGTCTTCCAGTTCCTGCTGCTGCAAAACATCCCTACAGCATGATGCTGCCACCACCATGCTTTACTGTAAGGATGGTATAAGCCTGGTGATGAGCGGTGTCTGGTTTTCTCCAAATGTAACACCTGGCGTTCACTCCAAAGAGTTCCATTTTAGTCTCATCAGACCAGAGAATTTAGCTTCTTATGGTCTGAGAGTTCTTCAGATGCCTTTTGGCAAATTCCAGGCGGGGAGTGGCTTCCGTCTGGCCACTCTACCATACAGGCCTGATTGGTGGATTGCTGCACGGAT